CGCTACCACCACCATCACCACCATCACCACCACCATCATACAGCATCTGAATATCAGTGGGTGCTTTAGGCAACGCAAATGTAGGTAGTTTCTTTTGGTACACTGGGAAGCACTGAATAACTTCCTTTATTGAGCTTTAAAAGAAAGTCCAGTGTCTACCATTTGCCAATTCCCCTGTCGTAAATGTTGCCATCTTGACTGAATTCAAGTTACCAATGGGACATCCCTCAATGCACAGCTCAAAAGAGGTCGTGTGCATGATCAGGAATGAAGAACTGGTACTATCTGGCTTTAGTACTTGGACCCAGTGGTGAGTTAATCCACCGGAGCATGCTCAGAACTCCTTGTAAGGCAGGTAGACAGGCAATTTAGCGTGTGTCACGAGAGGCAATTCAGAACAAACAGGATACAGATGTGGGAGCCATGAGACCTTGTGGTACCCTGGAGAGATGAGTATCAGACTGCAAGCAGAACTTCCTGCTAAGAGTTGGGGCAGGAAAACAACAGGTGGAATGCAAGGTATGTGGCCTCCCCCTGACTGCTTCTCTGCCTCTCCAGAGCTTCCTGCAGCAGACTTCTAAAGAGAAAGGCTATGCCTGGATGGGGCTGTCAGACCTGAAGCGTGAAGGCGAGTGGCACTGGGTAGATGGCTCACATCTGCTGTTCAGGTAAATCTAGGAGAAGAGGGACAACCTATAGCTTTAGGTGGTTTGTTACTTACTTCTGTTGCTGTGAAGTGATAGAGAAAGGATTTACCTGGTTCAAAGATCCAGGGGACATGTTGCACCTAGGTGGGGATGGCATGGCAGCAGGAACTGGAGGTGGCAGGTCACATGGCAATGGCAGTCAGGAAGCTGAGAGTAAGCAAGTGGGCCAGGCCATAAGAACTTGAGTCCCATGCCAGTGATCTGTTTCTCCCAGTGCCTCAAGGTCCACAACCTTCTCAGGTAATGCCAGCTGGGGACCGGGTGTTCAGACACTCAAACCTCAGTGGCATCAGCAAATGCTGCCTAGGGTTCTCCTCCATAGCCTAGGATGTCTTCAGAACCATGTGCTCCTAAGATTCCAGGCTCCTGGAAATCTACCAGCAGATGTGGAGAAGGGATTTGTAGCCTGCATGAGTCATTTAAATGAAGTATATTATGGAAAATCTATGGGATAGTGTGTTCTCATCATTGTAACTAAATACCTGACAAAGATCAATGTCAGGAATGTTGACTTGGCTCACCGTTTGAGGGTACAGTCCACCATAATGGTGAAGGCATGCTGGCAGGAGCTTGAGGAAACTGGTTCCATGGCATCCATATCCAGGAAGCAGTGGAAGATATGAATGCTGGTTAAAAACAAACAAGTAAAGCAAAACCAACCCCAGACATGGGGGAGGGCAGGTACAAATGCACAGGTGTGTGGAGAGGTTGAAGGTGAGAACTCTTATTTTGGTGTTGTATACCAGGCTTAGGACTGGCCAGTGTGGAGTGTCCATGGGTTCTGGGATATAGATGCTGTTCCCAGCATGATGGTCTTTGACCCTGGATAGGTATATAGGGGCCAGAAGTACAAAATCTTGGGAATGGAGATGGTTAAATCTGTGGAATTGGAGTGGTTTGGTTATATTTGAAGAAGGAACCTTCAGTAAAATGATCCCCTTTAATCATGGAAGATCACAAGGATCATGAGCCAAGGCCAAACGTACCTCATTAAGCCCAGAACCGGTCACATCTGCTGTAATGCATGCAGGGAAGATGCGAAAGCAACCCACTTCACTGATAGAAACATGATTGAGGGGCCAGATAATGGATAATAGCTTGTCGTGTGTTCTAGTTTCATTTCTGTTGCTATAATAAAATACACCGACCTAAAAGCAAGTTAGAGAAGAAAAATGGCTTAGTTCATCTTTTAAAATTTCAGGTTTCAATTCTGTCATTGTGGAGAAATTGAGGCAGCTAATGACATCACACACACAGTCAAGAGGAGTAAGAAATGAATACATACATGCTCACTCTCCTCCTGGGGTTTCCACTCTTACACAGTTCAAGGCCCCCTGCCTAGGTAGTGTGTTGCCCACAGTGGGCTGGGTCTTCCCATACTTCTTAAATAATTAAGAAAATCCTCCACAAATGTTCCCACAGGCCAACCCAAGATAGACAATCCCTGAGACTGTCTTTTTAGGTGACTCTAAGTTGTGTCATGTTGACAATGAAAACTAGCCATCACATGGTGCAAGCATGAAGGCCTGAGTTCCATTTCCTGAACCCATATAATAAAGCCAAGTATTTTAGCATGTGCTTGTCATCTCAGCACTGGAAAGGCAGAAACAGTGGATCCCTGATGCTCACTAAACAGTCAGTCTAGCTGAATTAGTGAATTCTCAGCCACAGAGAGACCCTGACTCAAAAATCAAGGTGGAGAGCAACTAAAGATGTCTGGGATAGACACATGGCCCATAAATGTGTACATGTTTCTGAGCTCACATCTTGATCCACGTGTAGGAGGCAGAGAGAGAGAGACAGAGACAGAGAGAGAGAGAGAGAGAGAGAGAGAGAGAGAGAGAGAGAGAAGAGGGGGAAGGAGAAACATTGTTGATAAAGGGGAGATGGGACTAATTCTCATACTTTGGTGGATGTTCGCCAAGGAGATTAAAGGAAAAAAGGCACTTAATTGGGGTTCATGGTTCCAGGGCTTACAGATCATGACCATCGTGTCAGGAAGCCTGGCAGCAGGGAATCAGGCAAGGTGCTGGAGAAGTAGCTAAGAGTCCACATCTCAATCCGCAAGCACAAGACAGAGAGATATGTAGAAATGTGGTGGGTTTTTTAAACTGCAAGGCCCACCCTCAGTGACACTCCCTCCTCCAACAAGGCCACACCTCCTAATCCTTCCCCAACAGTTCCACCTACTGGAGACCCAGCCTGTGGGAACCATTCTCATTCAAACCACTACAATTGGTTTTGCAGTTTCATGAAATATTGGAACAAAGGAGAGCCCAACAATGAAGGGGAAGAAGACTGTGCAGAATTTAGAGATGATGGCTGGAATGATGTCCCATGTACAGTTAACAAATACTGGATCTGCAAGAAGTCTGCTATGTCCTGCACCAAAAAATGATGTCTCATCTGTCTGTAACACCTGTTGCCAAAATGACTCTGCAGGGTGACTGAACTTAACCCACAATATATGCCAGTTCCTTCTTCTGTGAACATGAAGATCTTAACTGCAGCTGTTTCCTTGTTTGCCCTGCCCTGTGTGTGTGTGTGTGTGTGTGTGTGTGTGTGTGTGTGTGTGTGTGTGCCAATGGTCAGTCTCAGGTGTCTTCACTGACCTCCATCTTGTACTTTTGAGACAGAGTCTCTCATTTTTACCTTGTTGGTACTGGCCACTTTGGCTAGGCTAGCTGGCCGGCACACTCTAGGAATCCTCCTATCTCTGCCTTTTCCCAGCTTGCACTGGAAACATATGGCAGCATTCCAAGCCGTTTAAAACGGGAGGGGGTGATTCACAGATTGGAACTGAAGAGACGGAGATGGTGAGGTACTGTGTAGTAGGAAGGATCCCCAGAAATAGGGTACTATTGATCTGCTAGGCGTGTGGGGTTCATCTTTCAAAGGACTTGTGGCAGAAACTGCAGTGGCACATAAGTGGGGTGAGCTGGTCAGTCCGACTAGGCATCAGGTGCCTCTCAGCCTGAGCCATGTCCTCATAGCTTCCAGACAAGGGTGAGAGACAAGAAGGAACCAGGTCCCAGAATTCCCTTCTGGCATTTCTGGCCTCCATCAAGGACATCCAGGAAACTGCGACATTGGTGGTCCCTGTCCCAAACTGGCCAGTTTCTATCTCATCAGAACAAAATTAAAACTGTCCCCATTAAACAAGAGCTCACACAGCCCCCAGGAAATCTCCATTCCCTTTCCTGTCTCTGTACAAGTCACCACTTTTGGATCCTCCTGCAAACAAACTTCTGCCACAACTTTCTTTCTACAACTAGTTTGTATTACTTGGCATGGTATCCCTAAGGCTGACAGTATGGAGTTCATCATAACTTTTTCCTATTGACTCACAAATAATATTTCATTGTGTGTGTGATAGCTAAGCTTGATTGTCAACTTACCATCTCCAGTCAACAAAGAAACAGGCTTATGAGCACAACTATGAGGGTGCTTTTGGAAGAAAGGAAGCTCTGATCAGTATGGGAGTGGAACGGGACAGACATACTCTCTGTTCTGGTCAAGTTCCAGCAATAATGGATTAACATGGAATTGTAGGCTAAATAAACCCTTTCTCCCCTAGAATGTTTTTGTTGGAGTAGTTTATCACAGCAACAGGAAACTTAATTAAAACCCAGCATCTCTCATTAAATGTAGAGCTTGCTATGTAGGCTACGTAAGCTTTGTAAGGCTGGCCAGAGTGCCGCAGCCATCCTCCTGTCTCTACCTTCCCAGGTCTGGGATCACAAACATAAACTACTGTAGCACTGATAATAAAAACCCAGAGACAAACACTGGGGTTAAAGTTGAAGATCAGAGAAGCAAAGTGGCCAGCCACTAACTCTTACCTCTACCAAGGCTGGGGTGATCCTGTCCTCACTGTGACCAGGAACTGAATGCAGAAGACTAAATACTGAAAACCCGAATGAGACCCTAAGCTCCTGTCTTATATACCTCTCTAGTGCTGGGGTTAAAGGCATGCACCACCACTGCCCAGCTTCTATGGCTAACAAGTGTGACTGCTAGAATTAAAGGTGTGTGTCACCACCGCCTGGCTTCTATGGCTGTGGCTAGCTTTGCACTCTGATCTTCAGGAAAGCTTTTTTAGATCATAAACAATGAACCACCACAAACTACCAGGCCTGGCTTTTTACATGAGCTCTGAGGATTGAACTTGGCTCCTCGTGCTCACTTGGCAAGCACTTTACCAGCTAAGCAGTATCCCCAGCCTGAGGACATGGGTCTCTCACAGAATTCACAATGTGTAAGCACTTTCTCCCATCTGTGAGTTTCTCTTTATTCCTCTTCCTGATTTCAAGGAGAATGCTGATAACATTTTTGATATATGAACAAAGCTCTCTATGGTTTCTGTTGCGGGGGAGGTGATATGTGTGTCTACCTGCCTGTGTGCGGGTGCACACATCCATGCACATGCATGTGGACACCGGTGTCCCCCTCTACCATGGCCCGCTTTATTCCTTTGAAACAAGGTCCCCTCTGGCTGAATGTAGAACCTCTCCTTTTCATCGAAGCTGGCAGCCAGGGATGCCCAACAATCCTCTTGTCTCCACTCCCACCCCAGTACAGATATCAGATGGGCCATGCCCAGTCTCCTAGTTAACATCAGCTGTCAGTGGGTATAAAGAGAGAAGGAGGAGATAAAATTGAGAGTCCAGGAAGAGCTAGAGGCAGGGATAGGAATGTGGATGTGATCTAAATACATTGTATGTGTGTAAGAAATTACTGAAGAACAAATTGAAGACTGGCGGTTTATTCAGGATGTATGCACATGGAGAAACACAGCATCTCACCTCCGTCAGCGTATCAAGCTTTGCCTCCTTGGTGATACATCACTCAGGGGCCTGGACTCCCAATAGGAGAGCAGGATAAGAATGACAGTGGGGGAAGGGTTGCAGTGAGATGCCTCAGGGGGTGAAGCGCTTGCCTTGGAAGCCTGAATTTGATTCTTGGAACTCACATAAAGTTGGAACTCGAGAACCAACTCCACAAAACTGTCTTCTGACCTTTGAGGGCATGCTGTGGCACCTCCGACACACTAGCAACAATATAGTAGCAGTGACACTAAGAATGGTGGTCAACCTAGGGGTCTGTTCTCTGATTTTTTTTTCACCCCAGGTAAGGCAACAGTGACAGCTCATAGAAACAATTCTGCTCAAGTCTAGCCCGGTGATCCAAGAGTTTATTGCAATTAATTATAAGAGTATGTGAGGCTCAAGGACATCTTGACATTTTTTCATTTAAATTAACATACTAGGCATTAGAAATTTCCTATGAAATTTCCTAACAGGGTATTTTCTACTAGACTTTCCTTTCCAGGATGGCCAACACTTTTTTCTGACCTCCACAGACACCCTTAGCTAAATTCTACATTGTGTGATTCAATGTCTCCTAGTTAAATCTATTGGTAAATTCTTTATAACATCAGTCACTTCGGGTTTCATTCCCACCTGTTAAAGGTATTAAAATTCTGTACCATAGGGAACCAAACACTCAGGGTCCTCCTGTTTTCCCACCAAACTGACCCTGAGGTCAGAGCCATTTATAGCTTCGAAGCCTCTATCCAGGAGGTGATAAACTAGGTCAAACAGCTCAGAATGTATGGTCCAAATGAGCATCCTAATACAGTCAGAAGGAAGATTCTCTTAAAGACATAGCCAAGCTTTTTAAATCCATTCCAAGAATAGCAAGAACTCCTAGGACTTCCCTTTCCTTTAGCTGTTTCACCATGTTTCTAACAATTCCTGACTTGTTAGCAAAGGAACAGCACTCTTCCTTCAAACAGGCACATAAACCCTTTTACAGGGTTGCAAGGCTCTATTCAGTTTCAAGAAATATATATCACCTTCAAGGACCACCTGTTGTTTAGACTCATAGCCAAGCATAGCTTGTTAATGAAATCAGATTTTTTTTGTAAACCTATTATCTCCAGATACACCAGAGCTAGTAAAATTCTTCATGTCACGGTCCAATCCTGGGGAGCCACCATGGCTAGCCCTATAGGAAGCATTATGACCAACATTACCATGAGTCCAAAGGGAAGATGGGCCATCATGGTCCCCGTCTCCAAATGTCCCCTGCTCAACTCCTCAGCCTTCTGTAGTGATTTTACCTGTTGGTATTCAGGTTTACAAGTAGAGCAGGCCTGAAGAGCTGGTCCCCGTGTCTCTGGAAGGTGACTCATATAGGCTGACCTAGGTGGACTTCCAGAGTCTAGGTCTCCATATAGGTAGGGAGGAAGTTTTCCTGATCTGGTCTACACAGCAGAAGACAGAGCAGAAGACTCTAACTGTCTTATCCTTGCCCTGTATGCATACAGATTCACTCTGATGGGGTCTGTGCCCCAACCAAAAGAAAGGGTATTGTGAACTTAACCCATTTTATTGAACATTTAATTCTCCATACTAGTGTTTATACACCTGACTTTGAATATTATCTTATATTGAACAAACTTCAACTTTACTTTTACATTTGTTCACGTTCATTGTTTTAGGCTTAATTTTGACAGCATACCCAGAATGAATAGATAATTTGAGATATAAACTGCTCTTTCTCTCTCTCTCTCCAATCTGTCTCTGTAAGTAAGTTACATTTTCACTTAACATGGCTACAAACACAATTCTGGGACATAATGCCTTAATTACCTTTATTTCAACAGTTTGCTATAAATTGGCAACTCTTACAAGGTTAGAATTTATAAACCAAGGAAATTTATCCCTGTTAAGATTTTAAGCCTTAAAAACATAGTTTTGAAATGAAGATTTATTTTTAGTACCAAAGTGTGTTTTAAACCATAAATACAGTTCATGGAGGATCTGGGCACCTCACTCTCCTGATCCTTTTATTGTATACTTTTGCAAAATCTAAACCAACATATTTTTTATGCAGTGGCTCATTTTAGCCCAAGGACATAATTACAGGAGAACAGAGTAAGATTGGTTCTCACACAGGGACATCTATAAAAACAAAAGGTGACAATTAATTTTTACCACAGTTCTTACATGACTTGGTTTCTCCAAACAGCTAAAGCTTAACAAAGTTAGCAAAGACATACATGACTAGACATTCATCTTCAAGGCAATTTATATTCATAGAAACATTTTTAAAATTTCAGCATTAATTAAGTACATTACATAATCTGCATATGACATATCCAGACCTTCACTGGCTTGGCTTCAACTTTTTATGATTTTCATCCCTGTCTTTATTCATCCTGTGTCCATAAAAATGCTAATCTGGGTGAGAATAAGGCTGCCACCACAATTTTTGAGCCAAATTTGAAGCAAGCTTTATTAAATACTAGATGGGAAGATGGACACCGGCCAGCTTCATGCCCAGGATTCCCAGAGAACAGTCGCAACCTACGCTGGCCACGTGCTTATAAAG